TACATATTTTTGATAGGAAAATACAACAGCTGTCATTAATTTGAAATTGTCATTCATTTTAACGCTAAAGCTTGAATTACATTAAAGTGTCAGAAAAGTGACGACCAAAGTATTTTGTCTCCAACTGTACAAGTGCGCTGTCAAATTATTTTTCAGGTCTGAAACCGAATTTTATGGCACGAAGCAAAGCTGAGTGCTGTAATGGAGGTCGAAGACCTGAAAATAAGACAGCGCACGTGTATCGAACAATATTTTTCATGATCGTCAACAAAATTTTATAAAAAACGTGAATTTATTGAAAATTTTGAGTTTAATTTTGACATATGTCAAATCAAGTATATAAATTGTTAAATTTATATATTTAGTTTAAAGCTTGTTCCAAATTTGGTGGCGAACTGACGTTGTCAAAAATGTCTGAATTCTGACACTAAACATACGTTTACTATAGAAAAAAATATTGTTCATAGGCGTCGTATTAAATAATATTTTAAAACCACTGGTATTCTTTAAAAAAATATAATAAGTAGGAACTCATACATACGATGACGAATGATGAATTAATTATGAATTTGTTAACTCATAAAAATAATTTTTAACTATTATATTTTTAGCAATCCTCGTCCTTAAAAATACTAAAACAAAATTTGTTTTCGTTGCTGCTAAGGTTATGATACATAAATTCATTAACGATTACATCTAAATGATTTTCCCTACTTAAATATTGGTCTTCATATACGATCACCTGATTGCAAACTCTTGCAAAATGACAGCTAAGAAAATTTTAGAAAAAAATGAACGCCCATGTATTTCGTTAACTTAACCAAGTGGACACATTCCAAGTGTCTTTTCACCAGATATGGAATAAGTTCTACTACTTTATACCTTGTGTAGCTAAGAGAACGATCAGGAAAAGTATCTTGAACAACACAAAGGACCAAACAATCACACTGGTGCTTTTTAGAACCACCAAATTACTATCTTTAGGTAACAACAAAATGTGCATAACACCCTGTCAAATGTAGAAATTTTCTGAAGGGGTAAAGCAACAACATATCAAATTTTTTTGGTTTTTGTAGTAACAAACGTATCAAAGTGTTCAGTGCGGGCATAAGAAGGTTCAAAATCTATTACAGCGTTGTCAATTTGTATTTTCTTTAAATGATCATATTTTCAAAACCACGTGTCCTAGAAAAAATATAAAAGCAAATTTACCGTTTCCTATCAGCCTATCACCATATAAAAGATTGTCCGACTCCTTTGAACCACCGTGTATTCTATTATATAACGATTACAGGTGTGTATACAGGTGTTTAAATTTGACCTCATAATAGTTGGCAGTGATATGAGTATGTTGTGAACGGACCACAATTTTTACTACGCCCGGCGAAGTGTCGAATGTCAGATTAATAASTTTCTACACGATGGTTCGTTCACAATCAAACTTTCATGCATAGTTTTGACGCCAAATTAAAAAAAAAAAACACCTATTTTTTTATTATTTGATAAAATAACAACCTGAAAAATAATACAAGTATACTTTTGATACCTAATTTAAATTGTTTCTGAACACATGAACTCAAACATAAAAACACAAGAATTTAAAAAATCTAATATATTTGAATACTATTACTACGTTTCCATGAGGAATTGAATTCGAATTGAAAACGGTATTGGCCATAGAAACACTTTAAAATCGGTATTGAAATCGATTTTAATCTTAAGGTCGACAAGGCAAATTCTGGAATTGTATCGGGATTGAAAGTACGATTTTATGCATGGAAACAGTATCGTACTGAATCCAGCCGTACTTTGTCGGGCTTGTGTCAAAAAGTTGACGTTGAAAAGCTGTGGTTGTGTGAAGTCATTTTGGTTTCGTTTTGCTTTTTCAATTCGAATTCAATTCCTCATGGAAACGTAGTACTTATTTGGCAAACCCTGTAACGATATCCTCCAAAAAAACATGATCTTTACTAAACACTGCCAGTCTTGGAACAAATTGTTTTTTCAAATACGTATACTCGTAATACAATAAAATTTCAAGGTATCGTAAATTAGAAGTAATATTTACGTTTCAAAATAACAACCTTCGGATTGACGACCCACCCTTGAATATAATAAAAATTTAAAGTGTTTGTTTTTGGATAATTGGAAAACGGCTTTACCAAATAGGCTGTTGTTGACATTTTTAAAAAGCGCTTGTTATGAGCTTTCCAACGATGTATCACAAGTAGGGTCGTGCCTATTAAAATTTTCATCTTGAGGTGGCTGTGGCTTCAAGGGTGGGAGGTGCGCCACTTACCATGCCATTTTGATTTCCCCTAAAAACCACCGAAACGGTTTTGAGTGACTCTCAATAACTTTTTCAGTTTTAGATATATTGCCGATTGCTAGTTTTAAAATTGTATGCATTTTTAAAAGTTAACATCAGAGAAAATTCAGACACGTTAAATTATTCTAGACGCGACGGGCCGAGGTGTTCTTTTTTCGTTCCGCTCCAAGTCTAATATATTATTCCGGCTACATATCACCGGCATGGTGTCTGAAGTAGCAAGGATTGCGGATGAACCTCTCTTCCGTTACAACATCCGGCTTTAATATCTGAATACATATGTATACCACGGCAAAGCCAAAACTTTCCTCGTTAACCTTTAATTGATCAATTGATAGGCGATATGTATTTATTTCTTACTTTTTTCCATAAAATTTGGCTTATAGTAAATTCTTATAAAAGTAAAGCAGACTTTAACTTTTGTTTTTTTAGAACTAAATTTTTGGTCATATAACACTTCTAGCATATAGAAACCATACTTCACTTCATTACTAAATTAGTAACTTAAAGATGATTAATAAATAATAGTTGTATTTAAAACATAAATCAATAGAAAACGATTTTAGATAGAAATATTAACACACATTTCAGATGCAGCGACTCATCAGAGATGCGCAATTTCCTGAACCGCGAGCCTCCTTCTTGCGGTTTAAAGCTCGATTTTGAGGTTTAAATTGCAAAGCAAAAATACAATTTCTGGCATCTATTAGTTTATTGACGGTTTTCAAACACTAACAGATCTCTCTTGATTTCATGATTTTCAATCCCTTTTATTTTACTTTATATACTCATACTTTATAAAACTTTATATTACACATGGAAAGTTCTTGACCACGGCTCAAGCTGTCTCAGGCTCTCATTGTCTTTCATCCGAATTCTCTCAAGACTGCTGACTAACCCGTTAATCACTAAAACTACAGAACTATGTCCAAAGTGGTCATAAACCTTCATGAAGATATCTTATTGATGAGTTTCACAAACTTGCATTAAAAGCTCCCAGTTTATGGAATTAAACAAAATTATATTCCATAAACTCAATATCTCTTAAGCACTCAAAAACACCATTCAACTAAATTTCTGATCAAGTGGTCTGTCACTTTGAAATTAAGTTGGCAATGTTGAGTAATGTAGAGATACAAGATTTGAGATTTAATTTGAAAGTTACTGGTCACTTTGATCAAAAATTTAATTTAAACGCAAATACAGGCTGTTCTTAAAACGTTTTAAATTTGAAGGTCAGCGGTTCTCAAATTTTTGTTTTTTGCGCCCCATATTTATACCTTGCGCCCCCTTCCCGCGCATAAGATACTAGATTCAAAGTTAACATGCTAATATTGCTATTCTATGATAATTTATTTTTAGTGCTTAGCTCCCATAATCTTTAAATTTAAGAAAATAACGCAAATATACAGGTTGTTCCGCTTGTATTGTTACAAATTTGAACAGGTGATAGAAGATTTAATTTTAAGACAAAAGTTTCCTATGAACATGTATCGAAAAATGTTATGTAAAAGAGCTACACCCTTTGAAAAGGGTGCGTTTTTAATGGGATTTTCCCACTATTTTAGAATAGATAAAATTCCAAAAGTTGGTACAGCTGATAATCTTTAAACACCTGAACGAATTCAGAGATCAAATGTTGAAATTTTTATTCAGGGGTGTCCTAAACTGAAGGAGTTTAGAGTAAAATGGATTTGATTTTAAATTTTTATGCTGTGCAGAGTTTGTAACATAAATTTTAAAATGATTTTATTCAAAAAGGATAAATTGTATCGAAAAAAGGCAAGAGACCTCTTTTTTGTAAAAAACTATGAAATTTAGAATTTCGTTGCTGTAAGTGGCAAGAAACTTCAACCAAAATAGTAAGAGGAATTTTTATTCTAAAAATTTTAAATTTGTAACAATAAAAACGGAACAGCCTGTATACAGTGAGCGGCAAAATTATGGAATAATCGTATTTATTTGAATTGAAAATATTTAATTTTGACAAAAATGCTCGAAAGGTCATTTTTTCATTACAAAATTCTCTCCCCCCTCCCTAAGGAAGCGCACCCCACAGTTTGAGAACCGCTGTTGTAGCTGATGTAAAATTTCATGGAACTGAAATATTTGTGACTTTCCTATACTCTTTTTTATATTAATGTGCATCAAGTACCCTACGTTGTTAATTTGAATTATTTTTTGCTACATGGGGTACACATTTATTTGAAAACATTATTTTTTGGGAAGATTGTGGTTAGGATTGTTTGAATTTTTCCATGGTTGCCACCTTAAAGTGATCCCTTTCAAAGACTACTTCGATGCACATTAACATGAAAACGAGTATATACACTTTCTATATTTTTTTATATAAAGTTGAAACTCTTCTTTTTCACAAAAACTATATTTGTGGAACCAATATTTTCTCAAAAACCAGGTTTTATATAGAAATAAAAAAAAATTCTGAAAGTAAAGAAATTTAAATTGTAGAATAGGGTTTCAACGAATTAAACACCAAATTTTACTTTATTCAAGAAAAGATAACAATATTTTATTTTATTTTGAAAACGTGTAACTTTTTTAATCTACATTAAATCTTATGTAAATTAGTCGAACATTTATGGGACACCTATGTATATGTACTTTAAACTCAAGGACTTTGTTGCTGAACTGTTTGTGTGTTGGATTTCAGGTTCGATTAGTAACATCGATGGGGCGGAGTATCACTGCAACAAAACCCAAGTTCGAAAAGTGATATCAGGGGTCGTTGGCGCGGCTTCCAGTGTGACATCTATACAAGTAGCAAATCTCCTAAGACTCTTTAAAATACCCCAGGTAAAGTTTATGTTTGTTGTAACTGTATCACGGATAACTGATTTTTTTATCTAAAATGTTAAAAATGCAACACCAGGTATTCAATGTAATTGTGAACTTTATTTATTTTGAGAATATTTACGAAAATAAGACAAAAAAAGGGGGAAATTTGCTATTTCTGTTTGCTTTTCACCGACTTTAAATTCTTTAAAGATACTTTTAATTGGAACCAAATGATTTTTTGCAAAATATGCATGAAACGTTCGTCGTTTTGTTTTACAATCGAAAAAATCGGAAAAATCATTTATACACCGATAACAAATTCCTTAATTTGGTTTTCTAGAGGTAAAATCGAACGTGGAATACGTTGCAAGTTTGTTTGCATTTTTCAAAGTTGGCAATTTAATTTCAAATCCACTTTGATCAGAAATTTAATCAAACGCACGATATTTTCTTTGATATGTTTGAGCCAGTCTTACTACTCATGACTCTGTTTAAGACATATCTTAGGTTCTAGTTATTCTATTTGCCTTTGCTATATTTTTTTATTTAGGTATATACTCGTACAAGGTTTGAATCAATATTTAACACCAAATAAACAAAATTTTGGGGATATTATACAGGGTGTTTCATTTTTATTGTTACAAATTTAAACAGGTGATAGAATATTCAATTTTAAGATAAAAGTTTCCTATGAATATGTATCGCAAAATATTATATGTATAAGGGAGCTACATCTCCTGAAAGGGGTGCATTTTTTAATGGATTTTTTCCTATATTTCAGAAACTGTTGTAGATAAAATTACAAAATTTGGTACAAATGATAACTTTTATACACCCAAACGAATTTAAAGGTAAAATGTCAAAATTTTTACTTAGGGGCGTTCTAAACTGATGGGATATAGGGTAAAAATACCCTAACTATTTTGGCTGTTTTTTTTTTTTCAGCCACAAAATTTTAAATTCCATAGTTTTTCAGAAAAAAGTCTCTTGCGGTTTTTCGATACAACTTACCGCGTTTTTAAATAAAATCAGTTTACAATATGTGTTACAGACCATAATGAGGATAAAAATTAAAAATTAAACTCGTTTTGCCGTTTAAGATCCCGTGATTAAAAATTTCGACAACTATCTTTGAATTCGTTTAGGTGTTTAAAGGTTTTCAGCTGTACCAACTTTTGTGATTTTATCTATTCTGAAATACTGTGAAAATTCCATTAAAAAAAGCATCACTTTCAAGGGGTGTAGCTCGCTTACAAAACATTTTTTGATCCATGTTCATTTTGTCTTAAAATTGAATATTCTATCAACTTTTTAAATTTGTAACAATAAAACCGGAACATCCTGTATAAAGTATCAACGGATTAGTAATTTGTTATTTAGAAGTTTCAACTAACAGTTTTAATTTTCTTAAACATCAAACACTTTTATTTTAGAGGCAGAGTATAATATTCATTTTTGCGTGGAGTGATAAATCATGTTTATCTTCGTCATTAGCATTACATGTTCATGCATGATTTTTCAGTTGAATTACTTGCAATGAATGTTATTCATTACTTAAAGTGATTAGCATAAAAATGGAAAACGTTGCTTTTATTATCGTACAAATACAAGAAAATTGATGACAGTGAATAATGCTTCAAAGAAAAAAACGCAAAAGGTGAACTTTTGTAATACGAATATTCCCGGAATGTTTATTTTAGTTTTTAAGTCACATTTCTGTTTGTCGATAAAATGCAAATATCCCTCAAGAATATTGGCAGAACTTTATCTATGTTTAAAGAAGAAATGTTGTTTTTGAAGGTTTTAAATAACTTCCAGTATTTCATAATGGGAAGACGAAAATGGCGAATGCGCCGGGACAACTTTTACATTTGTGTAATCTATTTCTTTAGCTATAACCAAAAAATAATAATAAAGGTTGTTTATTATTTGAAGACATTTTCTTATTGTTGAGCCTAATTACGCCAAGGTTATTTAATTATAAGGAAAACCTAAAAACATTATCTGCTATAATTTATAAAACGGTTAAGCAACCGATTCCATTGACAAAATTTAACCAATTTTGATTTAATTTATCGATTATGCTTTCAAATTCAGATGTTGTCAAAATTGTGACTTTTATGAATCTTCTGTGCCTGTTTGCTCTTTGAAAGCACTATAATTGAACACCTGAGGACAGACATCATTACCTAAGGTCTAAAGACAGAATTCAGTGCTAATAACTTTGATAGAAACACACTGCAAGTAAGTACAATTTTGTGGACAAAAATGAGGATCTTGCTACAAAAACTTTGAAGAAAAAGGATTATTTAGCAAAAGATACAAGTAGGTATTATGATAATTGGCAATAAATTTTGTGTAATTTATTGAAATGAGTTCAAAGTTGATGCATTTTTTAAATGCTTCTTCACTTTAGTTTCAAAATTGTTACTTTTTCAACTCGTTCCTCAAAAACGATGCACAATACACTAATTTAATTGCATTCTTTCCGAGGTTCATTCTCATTCATGTTTATTTTGTATTCTTGTCGATTTCTTGCTACAAATTAAGAATATTTAGCAAACCTGCATTACAAATTGCGTCTACATTTTAACGGGTCCTTGTTCTAACTTTCTGCTTGCGAACTACTCGTTTCCAAATTTCGAAAAACTGTTGGCGGTTCTCAATTTGTTCCTTTTTTGGTGTTTCGTCTCTAAATTTTCTTAGACGATTTTCTGTGTTGACGTTTAATGACATTGTCTTCAAATTAATTCAAAAAACCAGAACTGCCAACTTCTTTTATTAAAATTACCAGGAATAAATTTACTAGTGGTGCCAACGTTAAGACTGTTTGGCATTTCCATTTAAAAAAAAACAGACTTTATTATTAATATCGAGCGACCAAGATAATTGTAATCGAGTCATCTTTGGATTGTAGAACGTATGTCTAACTTCACAAGAAACGTCAAATAAGATGACAAGTCGTAAGCTAAAACGGCAAAATGGGCTGGAATTAGTCGCCGAAGTATAATAAAATCGTTTTCCTAAGACCTACTAAAAATTTTATTATTTTTAAGTTAAATGCGGTATTGTTAACAGTAAACCAGAAGGTAAACAAATCATAAATTAGTGAAACCCACTCGGACTCAGAAACCAAGGAAACAGGTCAGTTTTTAACAGAGCCGGATTACTTACTTTCTTTTTGTCTAAAATATTTGAAATATTTTAATAGTTTTTGATGTAGTTGTTATTAAAGTCAAGTATTTTGAGAAATTTGAAAAAGCCAGGTGGTTATTAACAAGCTATTATATATTATATATTATATATTAAATAAAGCTGATTTTTTTTTTTAATAATAGCTTGGTAAAACTCTACCACTACTTTGGTTTTAAATACGGCCCTGTTTTATTCTAGTGGGTGCAGCAACACCCACACACACACCACACAGCAAAGGAACGTGCCATTTATGGAGGGTTACAACTTCAAGCCATTGTTTGGTTAACCCTTATAATGTGTCATAAAGTTTTTAATAGGTCTTAGGAAAACGATTTTACCATACAATAATACGAGTAGGACCGTTCTTTTTTGAGGGTAATCCCGCTAACCTCCACATTCCCCAACTTTAAAAATTTTAATGTCACTATCCCACTTGTGGCACATCAAATGGGAGCTATTTAAACAAGCTTTTTAAACCTATTTACCAAAATTGAATCAGACCATCCCTTCATGAGATACAGGGTGTTCTAATAAAAACAAACTACCCTAAATTTGTTTTTAAGAGGGACATTTTTTACGCAATTTTAAAACCACCTCAACTAACCCGTTAACCTCTATGCCACTTAACTGTAAAATGTCAAATAGCACTAACACACCAGTGATACATAAAATGAAAACACTTTTTAAATGCTTTTTAAAAGCTTTTTTCCAATATGAAATGATTTTTAAAATATCGTCAAAGAAAATCTTTCAGCAGCTGTACAAAGAAATTTAAGAACTGTTGGTGTAGTTTGGCAAATTATTGATATACATATAAAAAGTACTGGTTCTAAAATAGACACTTGCAGGGTGTAAAACTTTAGTTTCATTAGATAATTTTCCGTAATTAATAACTCTTTGTTAGCAATTATTCAGGTGTGACTGAATTAGATTAATGCTGGAAGAGCTAAAATTGCAGTAATATAATTTTTCAATTAATAGATGGTGAGATACAATACCGTAAGCTTTGCCTAAGTCAAATAAATAATGCTGGGTGATACTTCTACTTTCTTCAAAACATTTTACAACATTGTCTATAAATTTTAGAACAGTCAAAGCAATATAGGATAGTTTACGAAATTCGAATTTTAGAGACAGAATTTCATTTCTATCTAAGTACCTAACAAACAGTTTGATTTAGTAATTAATGGCCTTCCAATAATTTAGAGTTGGAAAAATTGAGTCATCAATACAGTAATTAATTAATTTTGTCAATTGATTTAATTATTTCAACATCCAATTCATAAATGTCTCTACAGTTCGAGTTCTTTAAGTTATCAATACACTTCCTAACTTTATTGAAAGAGACTTTGCGAAATGAGAGCTGCTGAAGTTAGGAGTTCCCGAGTCTTCTGGGTGAGAGCGCTAGGGGCACTGAAAAGGTGCCGTTTCATGGTTTCTCGCTTAAATCATAATAACGGTGTGTGTTACGAAAAATGGTTATTTATAAAATTAAACCTTATTACATATATTTCCTGTAAGACGGTCTTTTTATTTTGTTTTGTATCAAACACTTTACTCTTTCACCTGACCTGACATGACCCAACCATACATTCTAAAACTTGTTCGATGACTGGACTAGTTATAGATTTTAGTTGGTAAATATTCATAATACATATTTTAGAAATGAAAATTTTTTTTTCTATAGCAGATGTTAAACTATTCCTTTATCAACTCTTTTGAGTAGATAAAGTAGCACTTTAACCGCAAGGGTAGATAAAGTAACACTTTAACAGCAAGGGTAGATAAAATGTTTTAAGTTATTTTATTCATTGAAATTTAAT